CCGACCTCACGGCCTGCCCCCGGGGCGCCAGCCGGGGTGTCCCGCCGGGCCACGGGAGCCCGCCCCCGCCGGGCGAGGGGGACTCGGGGTGAGGTGTCTTCCTCCTTGCGCAGTTTGCCATCCTTCCACGGGGCGGGTGCTAAGCAGTGACAACATTGCGTTTGTGTTGTTAAATGCACATTCTCACCCCTCACCTTCATGGTGCGACTGTGTCTTTTGTTTTATGGCAGTTGACAAGGACACAGGGGCCGTCTGTACGCTTTCCCCCCATTGTTTCTGTGGGAGATCACAGAAACTGAACCATTGTAAAAAATATCCCCAGGGCAGAATCATGTCAAGATCAATATAATTTGGTCTTACTTTATGTGGTGAAATCTAATACTTGATGTTTCAGACATCAAAATATGTTTGCCTTTAATCCCAAGAACAAACATTTATAATAATGTTAAAACGTACATAAGTGGGTCATAACCAACTAAAATGCTTTTTATATGAATTTAACATTTGCTGTTCAGTTATATAGTTGAACACATTTTTCTGTTATAGCAATTTTCGGTGTAGATAATTTAATTTTATTTGGAGAGAGCATGGAACACTCATGGGCCATAGATAGATCTGGTACAGGCCCTGGACATGAGTTGGTGGGAGCCACTGTCTCCTGCATGGTGTCTCCCGGTAAATGAGTCTCCTCTGACATTGTGGTTCAGATTTCATAGCTCCATGCTTGGCTATGAAACAAAACCAGCCAAATTCTCTTCTTCTCAAGCATTGCCCACATTTTCACGGGCAGACTTCCCAGCAGCACAGGCAGAGAAGTGGAGGCGCACTCACACCGAGTCCACTGCCAGCTGGGCTCCAAGTCCATGAGAACCCTCCCCCTGCAGGTCCGCGTGGTGGACAGGTGACCATCTGGAAAAGGGCAGGCTCCTCTCAGAACCTCAGGGGACCTTCCTTCTGGGTTAAATATCTGATTTTCTCTCTGCCGTCTTCCCAAGTGGCAGCTGCTCACTCTGCAGAAGGTAATCTAAGAGCCACATAGCGCGGCTCAGCAGATCCCCAGGCCCTGGCCAGGTAGGCGGTCCTTAAGCAGGGACAGTCCCTAGCGTAGGAAATGGAGAACAACCTTGGGATTAGGATACATTGATTTCTGTGATCCAAACTTCTCTAGGCCCGGGTAGATCAGTTCTGGACACATTCCAGCACGATGCTGGCATCCAGAACGCACGCGAGCAGCAAAACTAGGCTCAGCAGCTGAGGCGCAGTTTCACCAAGTGCTTTATCTGGACCATCTCGCCCCCAGTTATCCTTTCCTAGACGTGTTTAACATAACTGTTTCTACATCAGGAAAAATAAGCAACAATAATCCTGAGATGTACCATATCACGCAAGTGGAATTATTTTACTTAGTTTCCCAATGTAAGGAAATGTGTCCTGTTAAGAATTTTAATCATCTTGAGTTTATAGCCTATTTCTTGTGCTCCTACTAGGCACAAAAGATGTCAAAACAGTTTTTGACCTTGGTGATTTACAACAGAAGCAGTTTAGTGTCGTATTCCCCTGAGAAGTGATTATAATAAACTCTTTTGAATTCTTTTGTTCTCATAACAATGATTAAGTTTTTACTAAAGCCTAGAATTCTAGCTCAGTTATTTTGTAAAACATTATAAATATTTATAGTTGAATTTATCAAATGCTATGTATGTTTAATTGGTGAGAATTCAATAGTTTGGTATTATGCATGTGTATAGGGAAAGGTTAGAATACGTGGATTTATGAATCTTTGAGGCTCATGTGAATATCTAATACCTTTCAAATATTTTTAACTTAAAAAATTATACATGCTTATTAAAGAGCACTTAAAAACAGGCAAAAATGCCAAAGTCTCATTATTTTAAAAAGAAACACTATTCATTCACATTTTAGCATTTTTCCTCCCCATATTTATGTGCCAAGGAGTTTTAATGTTAGACTAACGTTTGTTTGTTTGTTTTTACTAGAATGGTCTGCGCCTTCTGCCATTGGCATAGCTGGGCTGGGTGGCGGATTTGAGCTGGGAATAGAGGTGAGTGATGATGTGTGCACGTCCCGTTCCGAAACAACTGATTCAGGACAGTGGAGAGGTTTCCGACCGTCCTTGTTTCACTGCCTGTGGAAATTGTTCCCTTTTGTTTCCTTGAATCTCTGCCTAAAGCTGTGTAATGTGTACCACATTCTCCTTTCGCTCCCTGATAGCAGAGTTTCTTTCATGCATCTCACCGTCTCCACCTTCAGCATGTCTGTAGAGCAGATACCCTCGGAGCCGACACACCAACTGGCAGGTCATGGCTTCCAAGTGCAGAGCTTACTGGTGTGGCATCACTGGCGGCAAAGCCACTTAGTTACAGCCATGTTCAAATTGCTTCAAAGTCTACCAGTAAAGATCACCTTCGAAGTGCTTCACTTGATGGCTTTGCTCCTAATGATCACGGTTCTAGCGCACGGACTGGAGAGCGTGTTCACAGAGCGTGTTCCTGGAGGTCCCCCCGTAAGATCTGCTGCAGGGTCGCTGTTGCTCATCTGCTGCTTTGTTGCTAAGTGATCGTAAATCAATCCAATGTTCTCAAAAAACTTTCTTCTCAAATTTCGGTCACCTTCTTCCTAAGCTTTCCTTTAATGAATTTGCCCTGTGGTCGTAGCTTTACATGTCCTTGGACTTATTAGCTGGAAGTATTTCTGTTACTGTTTTCCATCTTTATTTGAACTTGACTTGCTGCTGCATAAATCTGTCTTCTAAACAGAGGAACGCATTTTAGTTTTGCAATCATGGCTGCCTTTTTCTTGTATGTTCAGCCAAGTCACAGCCTTCAGAAACATCGCACTCTTGTGGAAAGCGCATTTTCAGCAGCTGTTGTGTGTCCCTGTTCACAGCCCCTCGCACTGCACACAGATGTATGTCCCTGCCAGTGGTCCTGGGTCACAGCCTCCGGCTCCATGCACAAGGTTAGGGGCATGCCCTGGGGCTCCGTCTCAAATAGCGTTTGTTTGAAAATGACAAGAGACTAAGTAATAATCACTGCAGTAAGTTTAATATATCGAAGACTTAAAACGAGTCTTCATTGCTGGTTCTTTGCAAATTGTGGAGTTTTGGGCAGAATGCACATTACTAGCCTGGAAAAACAAGTGCAGGTAAACTGTAGTTCTATCCTCCAGTAAATGTAATAGAAAGATTTTAAATCAACTTTTTTTTTAACATTTTTTATTGATTTATAATCATTTTACAATGTTGTGTCAAATTCCAGTGTTCAGCACAATTTTTCAGTCATTCATGGACATATACACACTCATTGTCACATTTTTTTCTCTGTGATTTATCATAACATTTTGTGTATGTTTCCCTGTGCTATACAGTGTAATCTTGTTTATCTATAAATCAACTTTTTATAAGATGGTATTTTTTATTATTTTCCAAAGGCAGTGCAGTGAGAGCAGAACTCAAGAGTGGGCCGCTGGGCTTGGCTCTGACCCGCACACCTCCCGGCTGTGGTGTCAGCCAGCTCGCCTCTCCCCTCTGCCCTTAGCTTCTTCACCTCCAAGGGGAGATGAGGTAGCCTTCCCTCTGGGCTTATTAACTGAATGAGTTTATACATGAAAAACACTCAGAGTGACATAAGCTATTGGAATTTTTACCGTTAAGATCTTTATCTTCTCAATGCTTATTTATATTTGCCATATGTGGGAACTTTGAATGCTGACTTACCCTCATAACTCTGGAGTTCCATTTAAACACCTTACATAGAAGATGACTTTTTAAAATATCCATTTCAAGTGGAGATTAGAAGACTGTCCTCGGGGCTGGAGACCCTGCTTTGTGCCTCTTGAACATGGCCTGACTGGCCCCCTGAGACCCACAGACACGTCCTCTAGTGCCATGTGTGCTGTGGTCGGTCCCTTCCAGTGTGTGTGCTGGGGCCCCGTGAGCGTGCACAGGGCTCTGCCTGCTGTGTCAGGCTGCGTGGGGAGGCGGGGAGTCTGCAGGCCACGTGGCGGGAGCATCCACCATCGGTGGTCTCGTCCACCTGCTCGGGCTCCGACAGGTGCGGCAGCCCCAGAGACGCAGGGCAGCAGAGACACGGCATCCTCCTCTAAGGAGGGAAACCGCCTGCAGCAGCCGGCAGATCAGGCTCCTTGTGGGCCTTCCTCTTCCTCCAGACACTTGCTCCAAACTGGACGGAGGGCTGGACAGCGGCACCAGCCTGCGGGTTTTCTCATCTGGCCCTTACCTAGCCCGTGTGTCCTCCATCCCTACATCCACAGACCGGCCAGGTAGACACACAGGATAATCTGCCTCTGTATCTGGGAGACGACGTGAATGGCTCCATGACCACGCAAGGTCGCCATGCACGCAGAAAGCACTGGCATCCCTGGTGCGGACTGTTCAACGTTTGTCAAATAATGTAACTGTCTGCCACCCTGTTTTAGAATGGAATAATGAGCAGTAATAGCCAATGTTTCCATAAAACTTGGACGTATATTCTTAGAGCATCAGTTCCACACCACGGCCGTGGAGGGTGGTTCTCTGCACCCTCGTTCTGTGGATTAGCTGCTGAGTCACAGAGCTGCTCCAGTACCAGGCAGCCAAGGTGACAGGCTGGTCACTCACAGGAGGCCCTGGTCCCACACCCAGCCAGGGGGTCATTGGCAGCACTGGGTGCTGTTTCCCTTATAGGGCGTCTTGTCTGGGCCTCCCTGCGCAGGTGCCAAGAAGGCTCTGAGAAGCTGAGGTATGTATTCTTGGTTCTGCAGGTGCTTCATGGAGAGCACACCCCACATCTCCTCACTTCTAGTGCACCGGCTGGTCCTAGCTGTAACTTCCATCTGTGTAACACGCTATGGATTTTAGGGCCTGTATGAGGGAGGAAGGCGCAGGCAGTTGTTTTCAGGACACAGACATGAAGTGTCTTGCCAAGGATCACACAGGTGGCGTGTGGTTGTCTCTAACTGGGCTCCCTAGAGACGGAGCCTGAGACAGGGGTCTGGGTGCACATGATTTCCTGAGCAAATGTCCTCAGGAGAAATACTACAAGGGGTGCAGGACAGAGAAGCTGAAGGGTCCAAACAAGGTCCAAACTTGCCCTGGTGTGATGACAGGAGGAGAAGGCAGGTCCAAAACAGAGGCAAGGGAGTGGCATCTGGGGACAGCCACTCTCACCACTGTCACACAGAGGCTGGGGAGCCAGCAGTGCCCACAGTGGTGGGGCCAAACCCTCTCCTGTGTCTGGATACCCAGTGAGCTTCCACCCACCACGCTGCTCCCACAGATGGGCACATCTTCAGGACATGTGAGATGTGGGTCTGATCACCAGGACTCTAGATTCAGGCTCTGCTTTGGAACCTAGAACAGGTTCGGTTCCGAAGGTGTCAAGTTAGGGGCTGTATCCTTTTTTGACAAGATCTGTTGGCCTTCATCAGCTCAGACGTTAGTTAGATATAGACTATGGCACTGGTCCAGTTATGAGGACTGCTGAGAATTCCCAAGGTTGTGTAACTCACACACACACCAAAAGCAAAAACGACAACAAACAAAACACGTACAAGTCCACGGAGGAGGGAAAGGTAACCTAAGACTTGGTTTAAACATTGTTAATGTTTTCTTTCAGGGCAGTTATAGCAGAGCCCAAAGCCCTGAAAGCCCTGATGCCCTGGACTGCCCAGTGGTTCGCTGGACGTCACAAGCCAGAGCCCACATGGGCCGTCAAGTCTGGCCCACCTCATTTTCACCCAAGACTATGACTTGAGGAAAGTGACTCGGCTCTTTCCGGAAGAATTCGCGTAAACTCTTTTACCTCAATGATGAGGACGGCATCTAGGCTCACACTGAGGGGCCACTGTTAGAGACTAGAGTTCGGTTTCTAAGCCCCTGAGGTTGGTGTGCGGGGTGGAGGGGGGCCCTCAGGGTTGGGCAGAGGTTGCTACTGGGGATGCTGCGTGCCGGGGTGTGACTGTCAGCACCACACGACGGGGCTTTCTGGGGAGGGGGCTGACTCCGGGCAGAACGGCTTGTGAGGACAGGAAAGAAGACCCTCAGCTTCCGCGGAGCGCGAGGGGTGGGGCAGGCCCCACGAGAACCGAAGGCAGGAGGCGCGGGCCTTCTCTCCAGGCGGCCCGGCTGTGGGGTTTGTGGGCTGTCAGCTCAGCGCAGGGTGACGGCACGGGGCTCAGCGCGAGGGCTTGAAGGGGCCAACACGCTGGAGGGAGACAGGGCAGCGCCGTGCCAGAACAGGGCGTCAGGAGGAGGCCTGCGGCTCCTGAGAGCACGTCTCCCCAGCTTTTCCTGCAGAGTAGTTGTGTTTTGTAAATTCTTAGCTTAAGAATTGAATTTAATTGTAAAATTCACGTCTTATTTATTGTTAGTTGTATCGCAATGCAAACTTCTTAAGAAGCCCCCATCAGATTCTCAAATGTCTGTCACATCCTGTCCACCCGCTCCGCTGCCCCCATCTTCTCCCAGGAAATCGGTTCTGCTTTCTACTCCACGCTGTGGAGACAAGCCTAGAGCCGTCGGCACAGCTGCTCCTCTTCAAACCCTCCGGGGGCCTTTTGACCTGGTTCTTTGTCTGTAGTTGTGTCACCAAAGAGCACAGGACCATCATACTCTTCCTTCAGGAGAACTGAATTGAGATTGGACAGAAGAGCAAAGGATTGATTGTTTGCTTACTTTACTGAGATACACCGAGCAGAGGGGCCATGACAGCCCGAGTGCCTGCAGGGTCACGGCTGGAGATTTATACTTCCGAGTGTGGACGTGCCAACCTTTACGCTTTATTCATATATGTTATTTTTAGAAGTATTTAAGATTTGGTTATACAATCATTGGCAAAATTGCTTAACTTTGCTTAAGAAATGCTAAATAATTCTATATCATTAAGCACCATGATCCTTAAAAATCGTCCATGTATGAAATGAAAATAACAATTGACATGAGTCATGGAGAAGTATTTTCATGGGTCAATTAGCTGGAACTGGAGTGTGTTTCTCCATAAAGTGACTCAGATTAAACTGTATCAGGAATCCTCCAAGGACAGTCGCTTCTTCTGTTAGACGAAAACATCGATTTTAAAACACTTACAAAAATTTAAAGAACAATGTAAATAAACCAATGTGTTTGGCCTCTGCCGACTTAGAGAAATGCGCTGAACATGCCAGGCCTTACAATGATTTCAGCTCAGCCTTCAGACATGCTTGTATCTGTGTACATACGTAGACACATGTATACACACGTATACACACGTGTGTATGTGAATATGTATACACTGATACATGTGGTTGCTATTATTATACCCATTTTGCAGAGAAGGAGGCCGAGGCTTTGAGCTGCTCGCTCATTTGCCCAAGGTCACACTATGTGCGAGAAGCAGAAGTAGTTCAGTGGGGCAGGTCCTGTTATGTGGACTTTAAATATGGAGAAGCCAGAGAGCCAACGTGCCCCAGAAAGGCTATGTTGAGAAGAGGACCTGGGGTGGAAACTCGGGCCTCTGTCACCCAAGGACCCGGCTGGTGGGTGCCTCTTGCCTGGTGGGTGGTGACTGCTCCATCCTCACCATGGTTCTGCCATGGCCCCGGGGAGTTTGGAGAACACGCCTTCCCCAGGAGCCCTCCCTCATTCTGGTTTTGCTTTTACTTAAAGAATTAAGCCATGGCGATAGTCATAACTAACGGTGACTAATCTTCTCCCTGATATTTGAATGTCTGTGACCTACAACGTGTACATTTTCCCAGTGGTGGACGCATGGACTTGCACAGATGTTGCCAGGGACATCTGTATGGAACCGTCCTAGGAGCTGTATCCCCACTGGCCTTTGACCTTATGACCGTGCTCCTCATTCTGTATCCTTCAGTGTCTCTTTCCTGAAGTGTTTACTGTGAGGAGGCGCCTTTGCTCTTTCCCGTGTGGCTGTGCCTGACCTGTTCCAGTTGTGTCTGGGACGGTCTGCCAACCTCATAAACCGTGGTCACCACGCCATTACAGGCCAGTGAGAAGACAGTGCAGGTGCCCATAAACCCAAGGCCTGTGCATGGTGGGTGGTGACCAGCAGACGCGTTTGTCTAAGTACCTGTGAATGCAGCCCCTTAACCCTCAGCTAACAGCAAAGCGTGACTCCTCTTTCATATCCTTTCTCTGTCTGCATTGTCTTGCTACGTTACATAGAGTATGTTTGAGTTTAACTGACATACATTTTATATGATATTTAGACATAATTATATTAAAATAAGTGAGTCTTTATGTTTCAGGTGTCAGACTTGGTGATAATTCTGAACTACGACCGAGCAGTAGAAGCCTTTGCAAAGGGCGGCAACCTGACACTCGGAGGGAATTTTACTGTGGCGGTTGGGCCCTTGGGACGGTGAGTGCATGAAATGCTCTCTGCACAGTGTTGGGCAGTAAAGGCTTCACAGTATTGTTTTGCATTAAGAGAAAGCGTGAATTAAAATGAAGCAAATTTATAATTTAGTTTGTTTGAGGTAGCTTCCAAATAAGAAATTTACAAAACACAGCCAGTGTGATCAAATGAGAAGATTTGAAACTAGCACATGCAAAACAGAAACTAAATATTTCAGAAATGCAAGCTGTTGTATCTATTGGAATTGAACATAAAAATTACCTTCGAGCTTTGAAGGAGCTGAGTCAATTTTAAACAACTGAGAAAGGGCAGCATTCATCAGGAGAGAAAGCTATTTCTCAAACTAAATTGTGAAAAATTGGAATGGAAGTGTTTTACTCAAGTGATGTTTACGATACTTACAGTGCATCTTCCTTCTCTGTTAATGAAGAACTAGTCTTGGGTTAATTGAGCAATTAAATATTTTAAACTGAGACTATTTACAGAAGTTACACAGTGAAATCATCTAAAAATGTTCCTAAGTTGCATGCAAACACTAGTTGTAGAGAGAAACACAGCCCATGATTCTTGAGACGCGTTTCCCTGTTTGGGGAGGGAAGACAAGGCTGGAAAACACCAGCTGCGCACGTGTTCTCTGCAGCGCCACACACCCCTGCACATCTTACGTACCATGTCCTTGCCAGGACTGCTTTGAACATGCCTAGCTTAGACCAGCAGGAAGCAAAATACATGGAAGCACTGGAGTAAGCACAGAGCAAGGTCTTTCTTTCGGGTCAGAAGCGCGGTCTGGGCAGCCAGCTTTCAGTGCAAGTGCTCTGTGATGCATGGCCTTCTGTTTTGCAGGAATTTAGAAGGAAATGTCTCGCTAAGAAGCTCAGCTGCTGTCTTTACTTACTGCAAATCTCGAGGCCTCTTTGCTGGCATATCTTTAGAAGGTAGCTGCTTGATTGAGAGGAAAGAAACTAATCGAAAGTAAGTGCGAGGCAGAGAATGCTCATCGATTGGAAGAGTGTGTGGTGAGCAGATGGTACTTGGTGGACTCGTATCATTCTGAAGGGTGCGTGCAGGACCCTGCCTAGGCAGACCTCCTTATGCTGGCTTCACAGACACGGCCTTGTTTATAGGCAGAAGGACTGGGGCCACCCTGTGCACAGCACATCTGTCGGCAACAGTTTTCCAACCACTTTTGCTCACTTTGTGTCTCTGTGTCACATTGTGGTAATTCTTGCACTACTTCAACTTTTTCACTATTACATACGCTGTGATGATCTGTGATCAGTGGCCATTGACGTTACTATTATGATTGTTTTGGGCTACAGGAACTTCGCCCACAAAAGATGGAGAACTTAAATGCTGTGAATCCTGGCTGCTTGCCTGACCAGCTGTCCTCCACCCCCACCCCCCGTGCCCCACTCTCATTCCCTCTCCGGGGGCCTCCCTGTCCCCTGAGACACAACATTGAAATTAATGACCCTATAATGGCCTCTAAGCCTTCAAGTGAAAGGAAGAGTGTGTCTCTCACTTTAAATCAAAAGCTAGAAAAAACTGAGCTCGGTGAGGACGACACACCGAAAAGCTGAGGCGAGCTGAAAGCTGGGCCTCTTGCATCAGACTGAGAGCCACGCTGCAAAAGCAAAGGGAACGTTCCTGAAGGAGGTTACATGCGCTGCTCCAGTGAGCGCACAGGTGATAAGAAAGAGAAACAGCCTTACTGCTGATGTGGAGAAAGTTTGAGTGGTCTGAATCAAGATCAAATCAACTGTAACGTGCTCTTTAAAAAGCCTGATCCAGACCCAGACCCTCACGCTCTTCGATTCTGTGAAGGCTGAGAGGTGAGGAAGCTACAGAAAGAAAATTTGCAGTGTGGATGAAAAATACTGCAAGCTATATCAGTAAACAAAGAATGCTGAAGCCGTCAAGTCATCAGCTGCTGCCGCCACCCCCCAGGGAAGACAAGCCTGCAGCCCAGCCTGTGCAGCCACTCACAGTGGTGCCCTCTGAGGGGACTCAGAATAAGAAGGGACAGGATACTGGCCCTAGATGGCTAGGTGCTTGTCAAAGGGATGACTTCAATGAGCCCAAATGTTTGCTCCCTCCCATACACAGAAAAGCACTAAATTCTTTAACTTGAGATGCCTGATTTTCTTTAGTTAACAAGTAATCTTTTATTGTTCCAACTACCTGGTCTTTGTTGTAAAGCTTCTCTATATCCTAGCCCCTCCTCTGCCTCTTCAGAGCAGCCCCTCAGAGCCATCTGAGAGGCTGTCATCCCGGGCTGAGTCCTCAGAATTGTCCACCGAATAAAACTTAACTCTCAGCTTTTAGGTTGTGCGTTTATTTCAGTCGACAGCAGGTAGCAGAGTTTGGTTCCTGAGGTTTAAGGAAAGAAGCCATCTGCGTGACGTAGAAGAGCAGTGTTCCTCGTTGAGGGAGGGTTCCTACTATTACGCTTGGCCTCTGTCTTTCCTTGGTAAGACAGAAACAAATTTTGTTAAAAAAATTTTCTTGAAAATGTCCTAGCTGGCGAAGAGGAACTTCCACTGTAAACTGGCATCTGGCTAATTTTTCCCAAAACGGCTCTTCTACATTTCCACTGAAATATGTCTGATTGCCCAGAAAAAGCTTAAAAGCTGACTGACAGGACAACTTTGAAACCTGGCAGGAAGCCCACTAGCCACGACCCTGAGAGCGCCAGACCGCTGGTGCTGGACAGGCGTCTGCTGCCTGCAACAGACGGAGCCGCGTCCAGAGCGCCCAAGCCCGTTCACCTGGAGTCTGGAGTCCAGGGCACGCCGATGACGTTCAGTGCAAACCTCAGCCACCAGCAGACGCGGGGATGGGAGAGTAGAGTTTGCAGAGCTCTGCGTCTTGCAAAGGCAGGAGAAATGCTCTCGCTTCTGGTTTTACTAATTCGAGACATTCAGGTTAGGAATGCTTTTAGAGATTCACGGTTCTAGGCCTTCGGGAGACTTTCCCACAACGTTCACCTGAACCCTGGGTGATCCAAGACAGACGCACCTCTTAGCCCCCTGCAGGTCTTCCAGACATGCAAGGCAGCTCCTTAGATAGTCCCGATACAAGTAAGCATTGTAAGGAAATTGCAAAGCCATATATGTTGACACCATTTTTATACGAAATTTAAAAAGTGAAAACATATAAAAGTGTATGTGCTTGTGGGCATATGTTCACCTGTGTTTCTATACATACTTATACATGTTTATTATATATGTTTATGTATGTGTTATATGTATGTGTTTATGTGTAAGGGCATGCATATATGATGTGCTTTTGTATTACTGGAGGATGGATGTGCCTGTCAGACCATTTATGGTGGCTGCCTCTAGAGTTGCACGTGGAGGGTGAATTTAGGGGCTTAACATGGGTTATGGCTTGTAGTTAGGGTTCGAAAAGTAGCATATACAAAGTTCTATGCATGAGTAAATCGCACACAGATGTGTGTCCTACGTTTAACGCTAGAAAAGATTGATGTCTGTAAAAGAAATGTTCTTAATACGATGTTTCTTATTAGATTCTACTGTCAAGATATTAGAGCTAATGACATTTTATTTGGAGATATACCACGGCCTGCTCAAGCAGAAGATCTTTATGGAATTCTTGATTCCTTTACTGAGAAGTATGAGACTGAAGGACAACGGGCCAACGCCAGGAAAGCAGCCCGGGAGCAGAGGAGGGCTTCTGTAAGGCTCAGTTCTGTTTCTTCTCAGTAGTCACAGAAAAGCAATCCCATTATGTGGATGGAGCATTTTGTCCTTGACACCAGGTTCCTAATAACCCACTAACTTCCCTTGCAGTTTCATTTACATAAAGTTCTTGTGAAAGTATCAAACAGCCTTGACAGTCAGCTCTACAAGTTTCAAGGAGGAACATGGTTTTCCGTGATTGCATTTCTGCACGGTTAGCGCTTTGTAACGTTAGTTAATAACGCTACCAATAGCTGCTGACATCTGGGGCTTGCAGAGCTCACCTGGTTCACACCCCTGCCGGAGGGGCTGGGTCCGCAGCACAGAATGAAAATGACAGAGCTGAAGTCACTGCTGCCTTTCCCCACTGATGCCCCACCTCCCCGGGGGTCAGAGGTGCCGGGATGAGGAAGCTCCAGCACAGACAGGCACCCCTGCCGCAGTTCAACCGAACGCGGCCCAGGAACTCATGACCTTTGTGAGAAAGTGTGGAGGATAGAATTCGCCACGTACGCTCATTAGGACAAAGAGCCTTATATGCTCCTGAGTAAAAACGGGGTTTTAAAGTCATGCACTTTTTGTTGTTGTTCTTCTCAGGCTAAAGAACTGCCTCCAAAACCATTGCCAAGACCACAGCAGCTGTCTGCGCCAGTCCAGCCAAACTCTGCCTCACAAAGTAAATACTTATGTTGAAATTCAAATTAATAATCAATCAATCATGAAATATTATCTAAAATCAAGCTACATTTATTAATAACTGTAAAGTGATAGCTTTAGAGTCAAATGAAAGAACAAATGAGTGTTAACGAGAGAAAAATGAATGTTCAGCCTCTTCTAAACACACGAAGCAAATTCTCATTCCTGTACTTTGTAAAAACCTCCATTCTCATTCAGAACATGCTTCTTCCAATTGACAGATTTACTTCTGAAGTTTTTCTTTCATTTGTTTGTCATTTCTTCCAAACACAGCTATCCTCCAGATTTGAAACATAAACAAAGTAAGCCTATTTTCCTTGTATATCCTTAGAGTTATATTTCTGAATATTAATTTTACCATACGTTCTTGGGAGCTCAGGGTTTCATGAGGGAGTTTTAAAATGGGCTAAATTTAGAAACGCCAGGGTTTTGGCCTTTACCCCTCTCTCCATTACCCAGTTTTATGACAGTCACTCTTAGAATTCTGCTTTTCATGCAGAGCGGTTACCAGTAAGTAGCAACACATCAAAGTGGGTGCCGCTTCACGTGAGGACTGACGTTTGCACAATGGCACTGGCTATGGCCGCCGACAGCACGGCGCAGAGTCTCACTTACAGCCCACCTAAAGAACCTCCCTCCTAGAAGAGATGCCACCTGAGGTAAACCAACTGCAGGCTCTGGAAGGAGGGACAGTGGACCCTTAAACACTCTGTGGGTAAGGGCAGCAACCCCCCACGCAGTCGAAGTTCCGCAGATAACTTTTGACCCCCTTAAAACTGTACTGACAGCCCACTGCTAGCCAGAAGCCTTACCGATAACCTGAACCGTCAATCAGCGCATATTTTGTATGTTACATGAGTTACATACTGTCTTCTTACTAGAAAGCTAGAAAAAAGAAAATATTGTTAAGAAAACCATAAGCAAGAAAAAAATGCACTTACAGTGCTGTGCTGTATGTGTCATTACCGAACGTTGACGGCATCTATCTACACGGTGCGTCATCTACACCAGTGTTGTCTTAGAGGATACAAAGCACTGTAAATGTTACAGGTACTAACACCAGACTCCAAAAGTGAACATACAATGTGAAAAAGAAATTCATATGTGCAGGTATAGTGATTGATAAGAAAGCAGCAATATTGATCGCCTCATGGTGCCTAGCCCAGCCTGTACCCTGATGAATGAGTTGTAAAATTTTTAAGGGGCATACTTTTACAGTCATATTCATAACACAGTGTTGGAAACACTGTTACATTAAAAAAAACACTTACCTCTGATGATAGACTGTTACAGAGTCTCTGATTATCAGAGAGGGAGAATAGGGGGCATACTGTACAGCAATGCAGTTCTTTGGAAGCAAAGTTATAAAACAGAGAGAAAATGAACACATAACTTTATATTAGCTATGACTCCCCTTGTGTCTGTGTGAGGATGGGCTCTCCACTTCAACACGAGTCTCACACGTGATGCTCTAGGTGAGGGTGATGGTGACACAGAGCCGTCTCATACAGTTATCAGATTTTTCACAGGATGACACACGTGCACAACAGGTAAGTTTATTAACTGCACAACATGGTAATTATTTACTGTTCATTAAGTGGAAGTGGATCCTAATGAAGGTCTTCACCGTCTCATCTTCACGTTTAGTAGGCTGAGGAGGAGGAGGTGGAGGGGGATCCTGCTGACTTGGGGGTGAGAGGTGGCGAGGTGGGAGGGGGCAGGAGAGACAGGTACACTCAGTGTAACTTTACGGAAACACATCATAATTTCTGTCTGCCGTTGTGCTTTTTTATTTCTCTAAGACTGTTTCTGTGCAGTGCCAACACTTTTCCACCGTTTGCTTGAGTTTCTGTGCCGTATCGCACAAGGGTCCATGTTGTAAAGAAGCAGTTGGAAATACTCAGCCCTCTGCCAGGTTGTCTGGTGTTGGTTCTGTTTCCTGGCACCGCTTCTTCTGTGCCTTCCTCGCCATCTGGCGCTGATTCAGGAGTGCCGTCTCCATCAAATCATCCTCTGTTGATTCCTCTGGTGTGGGGTCTCTTAGCTCTTGAAAGTCTCCGACATCCATATCTTGAAACCCTTCACACACACACACACACACACCCTGTCTTTCCTGCCACATCCACAGTCTTTCATGCTTTCCTTGACTGGCTCTGTAGTAAATCCTGTGAAGTCGTGCACAGCATCTAGAATGGTTTTCTCCAGCAGGAATTAATTGCTTCAGGCTTGATGGCTTTCATGACTTTTTCTAGAAGAGTATGGCGTCTTCGATAGTGTAATCCTTCCAGACTGTAATGATGCTCTCTCTTTGGGGTTCTCTTCCACAGTGTTGACAGTCCTTTCCATAGATCACCATGTGTAATGAGCCTAAAAGGTCCCTTTGACACCTGATCTGGAGGCTGAATGAGAGACTGTGTTTGGGGCCACATACACCGCTTGAACTCATGAACTCATGGGGTTCTGGGTGGCTGGGGGCATTGTCTAATTTGAAAAGGCAGTCCCTTATTACAGGCAAGATATTTCCTGACTTTAGAGACAAAGTGTCAATGCAACCAGTCCAGAGAATGTGTTGTCCAGGCCTGCTTGTTACAGAATGAAAAGACTGGCAGCTGGTGTTTATCTTTCCCTCCTGGGTTCGGGGTTAAAGCCTGACAGTCAAGAGCAGCCCTGACCATGAGCCTGACTGCATTGCACAGAAGAGTAGTAAGTCTGTCCCTCCCTGCCTTAACGCCTGGTGCTTTACTCTCATCTTTACTAACAAATGTCATTTTTTATTTTTCCCACCCAGAATAGGGTACATTCATCTGCATTAAAACCTTGTTCAGACACATATCCTTCCTCCTCAGTGATTTTCTTAGTGGCGTCTGGGAACCCATCTGCTGCCTCTTGGATGGCAGAAGCTGCTTCTCATGTCATCTTGACATTTTACAAGCCAAACCTCTTTCTAAAGTTATCCAGCTGTCCTTTGCTGGCGTGAAATTCTCCAGCTTTAGATCCCTCACCTTCCGTTTGCTTTAAGTTGTAATACAGTGGCTCCTTTATGATACATTAATTGGCCGTAAGTGTGTGGGTTCATTTCTGGGCTTTCTATCCCGTTCCATTGATCTGTGTGTCTGTTTTTGTGCAAGTCCCATACTGTTTTGATGACTGTAGCTTTGTAGTATAGTTTGAAGTCAGAGACTGTGATTCCTCCAGACTCTGTTCTTTCTCAAGGCTGTTTTGGCTAGTTGAAGTCTTTTGTGTTTCCATACACATTTTAACATTTATTGTTCCAGTTCTGTGAAAAATGGCATTGGTTATTTGATAGACATTCCACTGAATCTGTAGATTGCCTTGGGTAGTATGGCCATTTTAACAGTATGGATTCTTCTGATCCAAGAACACGACATATCTTTCCATCTGTCTGTGTTGTCTTCAATTTCATCAGTGTCACACTTTTCAGAGTAGAGGTCCTTTTCCTCCTTGGGTGGGTTGATTCCTAGGTATTTTTTTCTTTTTGATGCAATGGTAAATTGACTCTTTTCTTAGTTACTCTTTCTGATATTTCATTGTTAGTGTATAGAAATGCAACAGATTTCTGTATATTAATTTTTGTGTCCTACAATTTTACCGGATTCATTGATGAGCTCTGATAGTTTTCTGGTGGTGCTTTAGGGTCTTCTGTGTATAGTATCATGTCATCTGCAAACAGTGACAGTTTTACTTCTTCCTTTACAATTTGGATTCCTTTCATTTTTCTTCTCTGATTGCTGTGGCTAGGACTTGCAAAACTATGTCGAAGAAAAGTGGTAAGAGCGGTCATTCTTGTCTCGTTCCTGACCTGGGAGGAAGTGCTTCCAGCTCTTCACGGCTGAGCGCGATGTTGTCTGTGGTTTGTCATATACCGCCTTTGCTATGTGAGGCATGTTCTCTCCACGCCCACTTTCTGGAGAGTTTTTATCATAAGTGGATGTTGAACTTTATCAAAAGCTTTTTCTGCATCTGTTGAGATAATCATATGGGTTTTTTAAATTCTTACTTTTATTGAAGTTTTGTATTTCCAGTCATGGTTAAGGTCTTCCCACCTCCTCAGGAGATTGCACTCATGGTGTCCTACATTGTCTTGCAGTACTTTATTCTCACAATTACTGTACGCTTACTGTTTTTACCTTAAGACCACTTTACCAATATACCCCTCCACCCCCAATATGCAATTCTAGTTAAAATAATATTATGTACTTCTATGAATTCTATGATTTATGGATATTAATTACAATAATAAATGCATACACTAATAAATTTGGCATTTGTATGATAATCTTCCCACTTTATGCTTTCCGTTGGTTGGTATTTTATGTCTTTCCTGACATTTTATAGGTTCTGTGCTTCTCTTATTAAATGTATAAGTACTTTACAATTTTGGTTTTCTGTGGTGAGTGGAATGTACTGTCCCACTTGCATTGTAGATTGCTTATTTTAATAGCTGAGAAAGCCTCAATTTGCATTTATTTTGTCTTACGTATTGTCACCTACCTGAAATCTCTTATTTCTAGTCAGGTTTTTAAAATAGACTCTCTTGGGATGCTTTTATGCCCTCTTTCCCACCTTGCCATTGCTTAATTCTGTATTTTTATACAAATAAACTTCTTAGGCCAGTTGCCTTCACGTTGGAGCACAACCCTCCTCAGGGGCCACCCAGAGACTGTGCAGGGCACGTGGGCACAGATAATTCGGGAGATGCAATTTCCAGATCTCCAGTTCCCACAAGTGTTCATCCTTAATGCTGACCCATGACATGAGGCTGTCCTCTGTCTGCTGGCCTTTCATGGGAGCTTTATTCACACTTGAACAAAAGCACTGGCAAATCATCTTAACCATTTGCACTGAGTTGTCCACACAATGTGAGGATAATGATCCAGTTTGAAATGTGGATGTTGATCTTGGTGCAGTCAGTAAGGCTGATGAGCAGTAATTAGTTTGGTAGATTAGGTGATTTCTATTTTTTTGCTTTTAGCAAAGTTGAAGGGGGGACCTAATGACATTGTTATCTGAATTTACAGTGAGTAGTAATTAATATTATCATTATATATTAATTATTTTAAAAATCACATAGCAATTTATCACCAAAATAAAAAGTTATAATAGTAAGTTTATTACTTTATAAGTAATATTTTATTATTGTTGCTTTTAGGTGATCACTGTATGATTTTTTACCTCTGTTTTGGAAGGGATGTAGAAGAACTCTGTCACATTGCTATAAAATATCTCTTTCTTGCCCTCTCTAGTTTTTATAAAAAACAGCTTTCCTAGCACCTATATCTTTAAAAAGGACCACTGAAATACAATTTGATGTTGAACTATGTCATTCCAGAAACAAGAAATAGTCATCTTGTATGTCAATTAATTGTTAAAAGTCTTGCCCATACATTGAGATGCATTTCAAATAAAATTTTACTTTCATGTTTAGTAAATTAACAAATTTGTAATATATTTCACATTTTGATCAATATATACCAACATGAAACTCAATCTAAGAAATTATTTAATAGAGGATTGTGTTACTTAAAATTTTAAAATAAATTTATGTACAAGTTTTTGTTGTAGAAACTTATATAAAAATATATTAATACATTAGTAAAAAATATTTGTGACAAATGGAATGAATATATGATTTGAAGGTTAAAAATGAACAGCACGTAATCTCTGACTATTAAGAAATATCTCACTGATTTTCTTTAATGAATGATGGTGAGTTCAAATCACTATCACATTGAGATCCTTTTATTCAAAAAAGGGGAGATATGATTAAGTAACTGATAGTGAAATATGCTGAACATTATTACACCCTTAAGCTCATATTCAACAATTTTAGGTATCAATTAAGTATACACAAGTGAACACTTGCTGTTTAAAAATTATCTTAGGTGTTAAGCAAGCAAGAATGCTTGAAAATCACTGGCTCGGGGATTGCAGGGTTTTTATGTGGGTATTTTACAATCACTTCTGGAAAAAGATGTGCATGTTTTTCATAAACGTGTAACTGCAAGGCCCTGAGCTGCCGTTTATATGCATCTGGTCACACAGACACCAGATATTCACCCTCTGCATTGTGCTTGGTCTATTTCCTGTGTTTGTTCAGGTACTCCTCTTGATTTAAAGATGACAAATTAATGATATTTCTATCATTACAGTTACAGTAATTTAAAATACTTGCTCAGCAAGGGCAAGATTTGCCATTCTGGAGTACCTTGTATACCATACACTAATAAGGGTTCTGAACGCTCCCCCCTTATACTTGTCTGTTTCCTTTTTGCAGGTAGCAGAAGTGAAAATAAGCTCTACCCTGAACTTCCCAGCTGTCGTGAGAGAGCTGGTAAGTAAAAAACCTCTGTTCTGAAATGATTCACAACCATCTCCTAATCACAAACTTCCTACTTAATCTGGCAGGACGTGACAGTATCTGGGAACCCCGCCTGGGTTTGTGGGCGACCCACCGCACCGTGAGAAGCGCTTCAGTTAACACGTGCGACGCACAGTTAGACACTGAGCTTGAGGGGTCGCCAGGCTGAGCTTGCTGGGAGGTGCCCTCTCTCCCGAGGGAACAGGGACGTTGGCCACAGTGTGCAGAGGCTGTGAACCCCCTGCAAAGGCCTGGGGACTAGAGTTCCTTTCCTCAGACTTCTCTGAAGTCTGCACCTGCAGCCCAGGTGCCTCAAACATATTAGAAATATCTCTTTAAAAGCAAAGAGGGAAAATGTTTAGTAATAAGAAACAAAACCCTAGTGGGCTCTGGAGGCAGAGGCTCAGACTTACACCCCGTACTTCCATTCACCAAAGACAATGTTCCCTCCCGTGGCTGGGTGGTTGGTTGGGTTTTGTTTTGTTTTGTTTTTTAACATTTTTTATTGATTTATAATCATTTTACAATGTTGTGTCAAATTCCAGTGTTCAGCACAATTTTTCAGTCATTCATGGACATATACACACTCATTGTCACATTTTTTTCTCTGTGATTTATCATAACATTTTGTGTATATTTCCCTGTGCTATATACAGTGTAATCTTGTCTATCTATTCTACAATTTTGAGATCCAAGTCTATCCCTTCCCACCCTCCACCCCCCTGGTAACCACAAGTCTGTATTCTCTGTCCGTGAGTCTATTTCTGTCCTGTATTTATGCTTTGTTTTTGTTTGTTTGTTTTTGTTTTTGTTTTTTAGATTCCACATATGAGCGATCTC